CACGCTCCTTCTAGAACCCAGTTTAAAGCACTATTAGACATTTATTTATGCGAATCCTCGTGCTGGCGAGCATACTGCCCCGCGCTGAGAACATAAAGAGCAGTGCTACACCCTTTTTTCACTTGTGCCTTTCAGGTGAACGACAGCCACTGACCGACAAGAACAAAACCGACCCGGGAAACTTGGGCAAAAGCCTCGATCCTGTGTATCAATCCGTGAATCCGTGAATCCGTGGTGAATGGTTTAAAAAGGATACTGATGATGAAAACATCACTTCAACGACTCGCAGTGGACTACCTTATGGCAAAAAGCAGGAACCGAAAGGTTCTCTAGGGCCCGCAGTGGTGAATGTCTTTCTGGTTCCAAAGTCCTGATAACAGGGATCGGGGAAACTGCCGGCGAACAGCGAGGTAAATCGCAGCCTAGTTCACCACCTGGAACGGTCAATTTCGGCATATCTAGAGTATATCATCTGATTAATCATGAATCTCACCCTCAGATAGTCGAATAAAGGATTAAGGACGGCATTCATCAGTCGGGAAACGAAAACAGCCACTTGCCGCAACCGCCTGTCGTACTTCCCTATATGGTGTTGTTTTTGAAGAGCCTTTACGAGCAACACGGAAAAATTTTGGGCACATCGACGGTTACTTGAAATGAAAAATATTTTTTACGGTTTCGTTCACGTAAACATACCGGGAATAAAACATATGAGAGCACAACAAAACTCACTCTCAGCCGCACGTGAGGACGAGCGGAATGCAGAGCTTACCGCGAGCAATGGCGCCGCACAGTAAAACAAGACCACTTAAATCGGTTGACCGTTTGCATCTCCTAGGCACATGGAAATGCAGGGTATTCCGGCTTTTTATTACTGCGTGACAAATAAAGAAGCTTTGATGCATATTGAAAGTCTCAATCTCCCGAGACTTAACGAAAGAAAATTGTTGCAGAATTTCTGCACCCAGGAGCGGACGCGTGCTAACTGGCTAAGATTAAGCATACATTGTTACACTGGAGGGTGGTCGTAAGCTTTGATGCATATTAAACGTCTCAATCTCCCGAGACTTAAACCCCGAAAATTGTTGCAGAATTTCTGCACCCAGGAGCGGACGCGTGCTAACTGGCTAAGATTAAGCATACATTGTTACACTGGAACGAGGGTGGTCGTCAGGATATTGATTTTCAAATTCACGTTCATCCAGTACACTTGCATTCGGTCAAGCGCATTTCGATCGCCAAACGTACATTCGCGAAAAACATCGTTAAGGTTATCCAGCGAATTTCAGCACAAAAAGTGGTGTAAAGGTCGAAAGATATCTTCGAGTGACGCGTTATACCAGAACCTCCGGGTAGGCAAAACAAAGTCGGTGCTGGGTTTCTATACGGTACTGTTAGGGTAAGAGGAATTCACAATTTATACAAACCTCGACAGTAGATACGTGTCCGAAACAAACAGTCC